TAAAACTGAAATTTCGAGAAACTCTCCACACGCTCATAAATATAACCAAAAAAGAGCATCTGTTATTGGTTTGCTATAGTCAGTGTGTTATAAACTTCGGAAGCTAAAACTGTAATTGTTATAACCCTTATCAATCGGAAAACTTCAGATATTTGACCAGGAACATTTACAAAGTTCGAACATTACAAATCATTTAACTTCAGTAGATTCTCCTCCTCGGACATTAATTTTTTTACGAAAACATTCTATAACTTCATCGTGGAAAGCTCAGCGTATATGGTTGGTGAGTAACAAAACTGTTCCCCCTATCCAACCCCGTAGTCCCGCCTATGGCTAATATTAACTATATATATAGTAAGAGCTTAAACAAACGTAGTGTAAAGCAAATTGTTTGTTTTTGATGTTAAGCATAAAGCTACACAATGAGCTATCTGTGCTCTGCCCACTACGGGTATCGAAACGCGGTTTCTAGCGTTGTAAGACCGCAGACATGCCGTTGTGCCACTGGGAGGGGGGGGGGCAATTAGTGGTCAATACATTTATTATCAACTTAATTTCTAAAGAAACTAAAGTAAAACTAGATGTGAAAGTTTTGAAAAGGTCGTGATATTCTGTAAAACTTCTAAACCCATAATCTGTAACATGAATATTGTCGAATTTCACACAAAACGTATGCATTTTGTGTAATTACATACACACAATATGTGATTTTATGAAGGCATAATTACAATTTTATTCTCATTTTTACATTCATTTGAGCAATCTTATGAGATTACTCAGTATTAGCTTAAGATTCAAATATGAAAAGTGTCAAATGTGTGATGGTAAAACGCAACTTTCAGATTTTACTTTAGCTTTTATTTCCAGATGTTACCAGTACCTTTTTTTTTCTACATTACCCTAAATACTGGTATAATGATTCCCATACTTTCTTTATATACTATATAACATTAAACATTACATGATGCAAGAAAAAATGTCTAGAACATATTTCAGAAAGGAAGATATTGTTGCGTCAGCGAGTCACATGACACTGTGACGCAACGTTTCTAGAACTATCATGTCAAGTTCTTACTAGAAATAGGGTAGGCGGATATATATAAGAGGGGACAACGTGACGCGGGAAGGTGTATAGATAGTGAGTAATTGAACTGCAGTCACACGGTATTGTTGAAGTTAACGTTCGTTCGTTACAGTGTTGTTTTAGCGCGAGTATTGAGATTAAGTGTATCGCAGGGTTATATTCGGAAAGAATAAACCAGTTTTATTAAGTAAAGACTTGTGTCGTTAAAGTTTCGTTGGAACGAAGTTACGGAAAAATCAATTAACAAACGGAGACGTAACAATACCTTAAAATTAAAACAACAATTAACAAAGCCATTTTGTCTAAACATACACCACATTTCTCTGCCTATTTTTAAATCATTAGTATCCACTATATCACCTGATTATCTCATCACAAAAGAATGCAGTTAATGAAATACAATGTAAAAAAATGCATGTGAGTTCTAATTCGAATTAATTTATGTTATTGACTTTGCTCTATAGTTTCTTTATTTATAGATATATGCATAGATATAAATAATGCCTTTCTGGTGAAGTTTAGCTTAGAATATAATTTGAGAGTATAAATAATTCTTGTTGAAATATCTGGCAAAAGAATCATAGTGTAGTAATATCTCTTAGAAATTCGATACAGATAATAAGTTTTAGGCTTAACCTCTGCAAAATAAACTGGACTAAGTCAATGAACGCTAAAACGCCCCTCCGTCATAGTTATAAGATAATTTTTTTCCTTCTTTTTTATTACGTAGATTTGATCAATACAGTAGGTAGCCGGAACTAATGTGCTAATACCAACTAATTTTAGACTACACATGCATTTTTCGTGGTCTCACACATCAACATTTGGATTTATTTATAATACGTGAGTTATTTGCTGCTTAAGAAATGTGAGGTAAACATTTACTTGTGCTTATCTTATGTAAACAGTTAAACAAACGCATGAGCAATAGTAATTCGCTATGAGGTATAATGTGGAGTGATTGAGGCTAAAGAGATTTGTTGAGTTTAAAAACTTTGGGAATTTCCCTCGGGAGTATTTCTTCTCAAACTCTGGGGAGTTTAAAAACTGAATTACATGCATACAAAGTAAATGCAGTCATGCATAACACGTGTGTTTATTGTGAATATTATTCGTCAGAACGGTACATAGTATTTTCAATTGTTTTTATCAAAAACATGGAATTTTTTATTGTAATTTAGATTGTGTTACTATATTTTGAAATTTGACTCAAAGAATTTATCCGAAGAGTAGTTTTTATATCATGAAACCGGTAAGTGAAATTTGAAGTTATGAACAGAGCAACGATTTTGTAATATGCTTTGGCTTTATTGCTTCGTCAGGTGTGTAATCGTGTGAACAGGAAACAAACAATATTATCTATTTGAATGAGTATTATTATTATTATTTTAACCGAGACGTTTCTAAATACTTGTATTGTTGATTTTCCAGAGGGAGGTTTGGCGTAGTGTGTGTGATAGGATGTTTTTCTTGAAAGTTTTGAAACTGGATGAGCGAGTTAAGATAGAACATATGATTATTGATTTTTGAGTCTGTTAGTCAGTTACAATGAATTTGAAGTAGTGAATTATTATCTGATTGAATTTGTTGATCAGTTAGTTACTTCAGTTTTGGAGTATTATATTTGTGCTCTCCAGGGAGAAAGAAATATACGAAAATTACCATAGATACCAGAAAATTAACGAGTAAGTGTAATTGTCTTGTTAGTGTCTTTGGAGATCTTATACTTATAAGTGAACATAAGTTAAGCTAACTTGGCGAACTTCTAGTTAAAGAAATAAAACTCTCGTTATCATTCAGTATACTGAACTTTACATTCTTCTTTTTTAATATAAAAATCCGAAAAAACCCGACCAACATCAGAAACGTTACAACACTAGTATCAGGAGTGAAATTATTTTGGTAAAAAATAAAATTCACAATCAACTTCGAGATGGTGACTTATAATCGAAGAGTGATCAAAAATGTACTGGAAATCACAAAATAGTGGAAAGAAGATTAACACAAAAGAGACAGAAATTTAAAAGAAATCAAGAAGAAAGAGAGAATTAAATAAGATCAAGAAGAAAGAAAGAATTAAAATAAGATCAAGAAGAAAAAGAGAATTAAAATAAGATCAAGAAGAAAGAAAGAAAGAATTAAAATAAGATCAAGAA